GAAGTAGTGATTACACTGAATAATACATCTTCTTTTCATAAAACATCAAGATACAATTATCAGCTTATATATAGATGTCCCTTCCCAGCGCTCTTCCCAACGGCTATATTAACTAACTAACTAACCAATTATATCCTAATTACAAGTTTATAAAAGCATTGACATAATTCAAACATTCTACCCTTTTCCTCTAAATGGCATTGACGCTGTCTTGGGTATGGAATGGCTTAAATCATTGGGTGATGTAAAAATGAACTGGAGCTTATTGACTATGAAATTTGGCAAGAAAAGCAACTGAGTTTGTTTACAAGGTGATCCCACCTTATTAAAAAATCAGACTACCCTTAAGTCTCTGATGCGTTCTATGAAGGGGGAGGGTATTTAATTGAGTACAAAGGATTGATAAGGGAGAATGGAGAACTTGTGAGTCTAGCCCCAGAAATAGAGGAGCTGTTGCAACAATTTCCAGCAGTGTGTCAAGCTCTTGAAGGATTACCACCTCCACGAGCCAAGGATCATGCTATAACCATCAAACTTGGCGAGCAACCACCGAATATAAGGCCATACAGGTACCCCCATTTACAAAAAAATGAGATAGAAAATATGGTGAAGGACATGTTGACGATAGGGATTATACAAGCTAGCAACAGCCCTTACTCCAGTCCTGTTTTGTTGGTTAAAAAGAAGGATGGAAGCTGGAGGTTCTGTGTTGATTACAGGGCCTTGAATAAGATTACAGTACTCGACAAATTTCCAATTCTTGCCTTTGATGAATTGCTGGATGAATTAAAGGGAGCTACTGTGTTTTTAAAGCTGGATTTGAAATCTGAATACCATCAAATACGAATCAAAGCTGGTGATGAGCACAAAACTGCCTTCCGAACTCACGAGGGCCATTACGAATTTAAGGTGATGCCTTTCAGTTTGACTAATGCCCCTTCGACTTTTCAATCATTGATGAACAAGGTATTTAGAGAGCATTTACATAAGCTTGTGCTAGTGTTTTTTGATGATATCCTCATTTACAGCACTGATTTAGATTCCCATTTAAAGCATTTAAATATGGTACTAACATGCTTGAAAGAAAATCAATTGGTGATTAACTTGAAGAAATGCAGTTTTGCTCAACCAAGAATTGAGTATCTTGGTCATATCATTTCGAAGGAAGGAGTCCAGTTGACCCAGAAAAAATTGACAGCATGTTGAAATGGCCTAAGTCCAAGAATGTGAAAGCCTTGCGAGGGTTCTTAGGGCTGACCGGGTATTATCGGCGGTTTGTCAAAAACTATGGCAAAATAGCAAGTCCACTCATGGATTTACTTAAAAAAGATGCCTTCAAGTGGACTCAAGAAGCCGAACAAGCCTTTGAACAGCTCAAAACAGCAATGACCCCTCTTTCGGTACTCGCCATGTTGGACTTTGCTGCTCCTTCTGAACTTGAAACGGATGCCTCTGGGTTTGGCGTAGGCGCTGTACTGATGCAACAGGGGCAGCCCGTAGCATACTATAGTCAAAAACTTTCTAATAGGGCGCAACAATGCTCCATCTATGAGGGGGAGCTCATGGCTATTGTCATGGCAGTCAAGAAATGGCGACTTTATTTATGGGGACAGAAATTCACTATCCACACTGATCAAAAGGCTTTGAAGTACCTCCTAGAGTAGGGAATAGTTGAAAGTGGGTTTCAAAACTCATGGGTTTCAAATTTGAGATTGTCTACAAGCCCGGTAAGGAGAATAGGGCTGCGGATGCCCTTTCTTGGCAAGAAGAACCTGTGGAACTGTTCGGTTTCTCCCTATGGCAGCATGATGACATTGAAGAGTGGGAGAAAGAGGTTCAATCAGACCCCAAGCTACATCAAATTCTGCAGTAGCTCATTGCCAAGCCACAAAGTGTGGAAGGGTACAGCTTAGAGAAAGGGTACTTATGCTATAAGGGCAGAATGGTTTTGCCAAAAAATTCCAGCCGAATTGCCTTATTAATGCAGGAATTTCATGATTCACTGGTTTGGACACTTTGACGACCTTCGCACCTACAAAAGATTGGCTAATGTAGTATATTGGGAAGGCATGAAGAAAGATATCCAGCTTTATGTGGTGCAATGTGATGTTTGTCAAAAAAATAAATACCAAGCTTTATCTCCAGCAGGACTCTTGCAACCTCTCACTATTCCACAAAGCATATGGGAGGATATTAGCATGGATTTTATTACCGGGCTCCCTAAATACAAGAGGTATGACACCATTCTTGTTGTTATTGATAGACTCACTAAATTAGCCCATTTCTACCTTTAGCTCACCCATTCACTGCTAAGGATGTTGCTGAAATTTTTGTCTCCAAGATCGTTAAGTTGCATGGCTTCCCAAAAACAATTGTTTTCGACTGAGATAGGGTGTTTGTCAGCCAATTTTGGAAGGAGTTGTTTAAGCAAGCAAGCACCCAATTATGTCTTAGCTTCGCTTACCATCCAAAATCTGATGGCCAAACCGAGGTGCTAAATCAAGGATTAGAGACATATTTACGCTGTTTTACCAATGAGAAACCAAATCAGTAGGGTAAGTGGTTATCCTAGGCTGAATATTAGTACAACACTTCCTACCAAAGTGCTGCCAACATGACTCCCTTCAAGGCTGTTTATGGAAGAGACCCCCCTACCTTCCTCAAGTTGAGTGAGGAGCCGTCCACTCTTGAAGCTGTCAATGAACAAGTTCAAGCTACAAATTTGATCATTGCCACTTTGAAGGAAAATTTACTGTAGGCACAGTGCAAGATGAAAGAGCAAGCCAACAAACATAGTAGGGATGTTCAATTTGAAGTAGGGGATCAAGTTTATGTCAAAATCAGACCTTATCGACTGCGATCCCTGACCAAACGGATCAATGAGAAGCTTAGTCCTTGCTTTTATGGACCCTTCAAGATCTTGGAGAGGGTGGGGACAGTGGCATACCAGCTGGAACTACCCCTTACTGCATGTATTCACCCTGTTTTTCATATTTCCAACCTTAAGAGGGCTGTACATGCAGCAGCAGTCACTCCTATTCTACCTACAGCATTGCCGGAGGATTTAGAATTGCAAGTGCAGCCTTAGGACATTCTCAAAGTTAGGAAACTCTTGAATGGACAGCATGAAGTACTTGTGAAATGGCAAGATATGCAGGATTTTGAGAGTAGTTGGGAGGATGCTGAGACAATTTCTAAGCAGTTTCCTGATTTTCACCTTAAGGACAAGGTGAAACTTTTAAGGGAGGGTAATGATAGGATTGCTTTTGCTGCCCAGACCTACAAAAGGAGAACTAAGAAGACACATGAAAAAGGAAAGATGCCTTCAGATGGTCAGAATGCTGACCTGACCTCTCCAACTATTATGGAGCAAGGAAATACCAACTAAGGCTGCTTTAAACTGGCTTTTGACGTGGCTTAGGAGAGGGTTCTTTTTGGAGTCCATGACAGCTATCTCTTGGGTTTATAGTTGTGCTTGAGGTCCCCAAGAGGGTTATGTCATTTTTGTATTTTGAGCAGGAAGGGAGAGGACTGGCCTCTCTAAAGCCAGCAGGTGTTTTGTATTAGGGGTGATTGTGTTTATTTTAGTTGCTGTGATTTACCATTGAACCAAGGGAATAGGGTTTTATATTGAATCAGGGAGTCCCTCTTGTAACTCTGATTCAGCATCTTAACATATCAATCTTAAAACCTCAGGATTTCCTTATTTTGTGCTCTGTTGTTGCATATTTGCTGTTTTCTGGTTTATTAATCCATAGGATCTCATCAGAACCACTAAATTTAACATGTCATTTTTACATATCAAGTTCACATGTTTACAATGGAAAATTGAAGAATTCACAACTAAAAGTGAAAGTCTTCATGTTTACATCTATCTCATCAACTATTTACAACTGTCTCTTCATATATTCAACAATGAACTTTCAAATTTAACCTCCCAAATGAACGTCTTATTTTTACGCATCAAATTCACATATTTATGCCTAAGAATTCAAGAATTTACAATCAAAAATTCAAATCTTAATGTTCATGAATTACATAGAAAATTGTAAACTTGCATGGCATTCCAATATTGCACAAACTGTCAAATCATCACAACAAAGAGTGCAATTTCTTTTTTGATATTTCAAATAGTGCAATTTCTAATGTACCAGTTATATTATTTAGAAACTCAAACAAGTAGAATAAAATGAAATAAGATGAAATTCAAGGAGCTAAGCAATCTAGAAAAATGAAATAAAAAGCCAAAAATTCCTTGATTCAAGCAAACCCTAACAAGAATATGGTGTAAAAAATCAAAATCATTGGGTAAAAACCCAAACACTTCATAATACTTGCCTGAAAATCATCTACTAGCCTCAAACACGTACATGAGACAGGCGGAGAAGATAGGATGGCAAGGAAGATGGACGATATCCTTAAGCCAACACAAGTAGTGAACAATGGTGAAGATGTCCCTAAATAAGGAAGATGAATGACAGGGAAGGTGAATGGTGAAGAAGACGTCCCTGAATGAGAAAGATGGAGATTGTTGCATCTAATATGGGAAGGACATCAATGGCATAGAGATCTTGACTTAGATTTCATGGTACTTCACTTTGGTGTTTCCAAATGGCAAGTGTGTTTAGGGCTTTGGGATTTTTTTTGTGGTTTTGCACTGATTTTATTTTCTCAGGCAAGGGTAGTGTGGTCTTTTCCCACATTTGACAAACTACAATCAAGTCCCAAGGGGCTTGGATATAGTTTTTGAATTTCATAGGACTTATCTGTAAATAAATCTCTTGTAGAGGACATTTATGTAATTTTCCCTTGTTTTTATGCTAGATTTGGCGAATGAGAAAACTTTTTAAACTTGGTAGAAAGTGGGATGTGATCAGAGGTTTTCTAGTTGATTTTGGAGCCTTGCTTGTTAGTGGGGAAATTTGTTTTATGCTTGATTTTGAAATTTTCCTTGGCCACTACTAACTATTTGTACTATTTCTTTTTTCATAATTTTGCAGCTCGATAGAGGGGATCTTCAATTGATTGTTAAAAACAAAAAAAATTGTCTCTGACCCAGTACTTCATGCTAGGCCTAGCTTTTGGAGATCTCAGTTCCATCAGCACAGTGAATCATTCGGAAGGGGAGAGGATTCTATGGCAGGCCAAGATAATGTCAAGCATCTTGAAGACTGCTCCGTTTCCAAGTAAGTCTTTTTTATCTCTCCTTTTTCATTTTGACTTTTTTAAATGGTTTGTTTAATCATCTTTGCTCCATGGTTCTGAAATCTATAACCTGATGTACTCGTCTAAATCAATTAACTAATTGAAAATGGTCAGTTCATTGTGTGGGTAAAGATATGAGTACTTGTCGTCGCAGTAGGAACAAGGAAATAAGGGGCTCGGATATGTGATATGGAGATTAGGTTCCGATTGTCTTAAAATGGATAGACTATTCAATGAATATGTGAAACTTGTCTAGCCACAGATTCTACTTATAATCTAGTTTTGTTTTACTGATGGCATGTGTTGGCAGATGATCAGTTCCCTCAAAATCTCGAATCAATTATTGTCAATTAGTAGCTGGTCTTCTTTGTTCTTTTGACGATTGAAAATGTCATTTGTTATTTGTTGTGAAGTCATTATCGTTTTGGGTTTTGGTATCTTAGGTGGACCAGATGTATCTATTGCTAGTTTACTGCCTAGACTTTGCATGAGTTGCTTGATACCGCATAATGTAGATCTTCATAAGAAATTCAAAGCATAACCGCACAAAATTAGACATGTCTCATTCCTGAGCTCTCATTGTATAATAATTTCATTTTACTCAGATAAGGCGTCCTTCATTTCATGAAATCCCTCCATGAGTTGAAATTTCAGCTTGTCAAATGCTGTTCATATTTTAGTTTGAAGCATTAGTCACAATGCTCGTCAGGATTAATCTTCTATTGCGGCATGAAATGTACCAAGTACTAGGACTAACCCCAACCTTGGATGGGTTACTTTGGTGCTCATGTAAGCTTTGAAGCAAGAATCCTGATATACTTCAATTATAGTTTTATCCTGTTAGCTTCTTAACTCCCATCTTCTTTGCATGCTCTGATTTAAGATTATGTGGCTTTCTCATAAGTTTTTACAAAACGTGGTGAACTAGCGTTGAATTAGAGTGAGGGTGGTGCCGCTTTTGAATAAATGTCATTACTTAGTGTGTATTTGTGCATTCATAATCCATCTATGAACACCTCTTGCGAAGGTTTTAATTGGAAAAAGATAGCAAGAGAACCTGTAGGTACAGCTACAATTTTTGCCCCTAAAGACCCAAGACAGGAGCATAACGAATTTAGTATCAGAAAAGTAGATGTTATAATCAGTTCAGGCTGATATGCATTTGTTCAAAATTCCTTTGTTGCTGGACTATTATGAAATTTGAGAGTTTTATTGCAGTGCTTTAGGCACTTGGGTGTTCTCAGTAGCAGGAGCATCGCTGGCAATTCCAGTGGGGATAAATCGCAAGTCTCTGGCACCGCTTGTATTCTTTGGAACGACGGGCACTATGCTGGACATCATCATAGGAATCAGTCAATGCGAAAGGGAACATGCAGAGCGCCAAACGAAGCTACTTGAAGCTCAGACTGCTGCAAATGACACACTAACTGAAACTGATTCGTGATATCCCTGTATTCTTAGTATTGTCAACTTATATTCGTATATGGGTGTAACAGACAAGCATGCATTTTTTGGTTGCTCGTTGCTCGTTGCTCATGCCAATGAATAAGAAATAAAGGATTTCTTTGTTAGTTGATTTATGTCCCCTTCCCTTTCGAAGAGGCTGGGTATCTTTTTCTTGACCAGCGAAGAGGCTGGGTGCCTGATCTTTTCCTGTCCAAGGGGTAACGTTTTTTTGAACAAGAAGTGTTGAGGAAAGGTCGATCTTATGAATTCTTTGATATTTAATTCCACCCTAATTTTCATTCCCGCGACTTGCTTAGGTTGCACCGACTTTAAGATACAACTCGACATTCCCATTCACGGCTTTAGTTTTTCACCCCCGCCTCGCCCCAATTTTTATAGGTATAAGATTCTCTAATCATGAACACCCGAGGCCATTGACTTTGTAATTCTATCATCTTACTACATTTATTTTAGCCTTATATTTAGGAGGCATCTATTCGTCATGTTAGGGAAGTAACATTGTGGTTGATTATCTTGCCAAGGTTGTTCTGAATCGTTGGCCTGGTTTCAACAGAATAAACTTTCCACCTTTAGATATTGTTACTCTTCTTTTAGCTAATTATAATAATCCATCTTAGCTTTAGATTGGGTGTGCCTCTTGTTATTTAAAAAAACATTTGCACACCTGACTGTTCGAGCACCCCAAAGTTTTTTTCACAAGCTGGTGGAGCCTTATATGAAGAAGCAGTGTTTAACTGATGTAAAAATTTTGCCTTACAAACCTGCAAAATTGAATAGAACAATTTAATCTATTAGTTTTTATAGTTTTAATTTAATTATAACGCAATTATTAAATTTTGATTCATTATAATCCAATCTCTAAATTATTGATTTGATTGTAACTGAATCTTTAAACTTTAACTGTTGTATTTCAATCCCTACAATTTCAACTATTTAAATATTGATCCCTATTTTTTAAAAAATAAAATTATAAAGATTAAAATTATGTTAAAATTTATTACTAATATTTTAAATTACTAAACCCTTTTAATCTTTATCAATATTATAAATATTAAAAGTTATAATATTTTTAATATTTATAATTTTATTTTTAAAATATAGGGGCTAATATTTGAATGGTTGAAATTATAGGAATTAAGTTGTAAGAAGCAAAACTTAAGAATTGAGTTACAATTGAGTTAAAATTAAAAGAACTGAGTTATAATAAATCAAAATTTAAGGGTTAAATTATAATTAAGTCAAAATTACAAAGATTAAACGATTAATTTTTCCACTTGAATAAGCAAAAGTTAATAGAAGGTATTACATAGTTCTATAGTAGGGCATTGATGTAGAAATCATTTTGAACTTCCTATTTTTAGTATCAAAACCAGAATTGATAATGATCTCAAATTTCAAAAGGTTGCTCTTTCCTTGTTGCAGCAGCAGTTTTAGAAAAATTAAACAGATATGATAAGAGTTCAAGTTTACAGTATCACGGTGCCTTCCAGTCATAAGCCTTTTTCGGCATTTGATGGACAGGAACTCGAAAGACATTTCATAGAACCATTTGGGTTATTTTTGAATTTGAAAGTAGAATCTTTACCCTTATCTTCACTTCTTAGTTCAGACTTTTTATCAAGCATATGTTGTTTATAACTTGAACAGACCTTTTCAGCTGTGATGTTCCCAAACAATAATTCAATGCAGCAAATGACATAATCCTAAATGCTATCTTAATAATGACAACCAGATGAAGAAATATGAATAAATTTTTACCACGAAAGGCCTGTATATCAAACATATTGCATGAAGGCGACTTGAGCTTTTCGAGCATAACTCAGTGGAAAAACGTTTTGATCATATCTGGGGAAAAAAAAGAGGAAAAGGATCATGATAACCATGGTGGTAGCCTCTGCTACAAGGCTAAAACTTTAACGTTCTAAACCCATACTCTGTACTCCTGCTAAGGAAAATCTTCTCTTTCTCAGTACCACCAAGATCCATTATGCTTGCTTGTAGAAAAATTTCACCGATAAATCCACTAATTATAGCATTATAAGATTATGTTAGTTGAAATACTTTTGAAAGTTAAAAAACAATCTATAGGCATTCACTCTTCCTGCACTTTCCAGTTTTCAGGCAGATGCAAATATTGCTCAGAACATACAAATCAAGGCAGTATAAGATGAAGCATAGCGACCAAAGTAGCATTAATAAATGAATGGAGTAAAGGAGTCAACTTTTAAAGAAAGAGAATTCATCATATGGAAATCAAAACCTAAAATATTGACTAAATCGGACTCCTCCATAAATAATCTGAGTAAAAATAGTTAAGTAAACAGGAAAAGGTAACAATAAAAAAAAAAAAAAAAGGTGCGTGACATTGACATCCTGCAATGTCAAAATGATGTTCACCAACAAAACAAAACAATAAAATGATTTTCAAGTCTTTAAAATTTAATTTGTGCCTGTCCTGTAGAGCATAAAGAACACTTGACATGCTAAATAACAAAATATAAACGCAAGCCAAAACACACCACTTAAACCTACAATATGACATGAAGGGAGACAAGAATCATACCTAGAATTGAACTTTACATTTATTCTTTTTTCAGAGTTTTGCTACCCGTCAATAGACTTTATATCTATGCCATTACCATGACTATCTGCTTTCTGTAAATGTATTATTTCTTCCTTTGAAGGACACATGATGCATGATAAATGCAATTGATGGAAGTATTATGTCTAAGAGTACACGTGTGTTACAAGCACATAAAACCTCATATATTCTTCACTTTTCTTAAGAATCACAGAAAGCAGATAGATTAAGTTCACTAGACTGTATAATAGGCTCGAACAGAGAAGGATCAGAATCTCAACTATAGACTTAATGAAAAACAATGAGGCTAAAGAAAAGAGATACATCATATTTTCACTCGCATCACTTGATGGCAAAACTATTAGTAGAACGAAAGGAAATGCTACTTGGAAATCATATCTATTTAGGGAAAAAAAAACAAGAATATGTCATGAATTAAAATCCTTGTCAGCTAAACCCTCCCAAAAAAGAACTAAAGAAAAGAAATATATGTGTATGTATGTGTATGTGTACGTATGCAATCAAAGATGAACCTTTAAGAAATATAATAAATTGCAACAACTTATGAGCAATGGCATTGCTTGGTAAGAGTTCACGTTACATATGTTAGGTTTAGACTGCTGCACCCACTTTATGACCTTCCTAAGTTTGTCCTTATTGGTTATCCCAGGGCAACAGCCTGCCACCAACTCTTTTATACTTGCATTGTAAGTCATTATATTGCACTCCATTTGTTTTTCTCTAATTAAGAAAATTCTAAATAAATAAAAATGTATAGCAAACTCAGTTATTGTAATTATATTATTCAACTAGGAAATCAAGTTATAAAACTTGAATCTATTAAGCATGAAATTAAATCATATACAAGCACTTACAGACTTGCATG